AGATTGTGTAATAAATCGACTTCGTTATAACTGTATTCAACCAGCTAACTATAGCGCGTTTATTCCGTTGTCTATGGCATTAGAACATAAGACTAAAAATATTGCAGTTAATCATGTTTTACAGGCTACCCACATGTACGCATTGCGTACCTATTTTTTTGATGTTCAATTTATCAGTAATTTTAAATCCGGATCGAAATGTCAAGTGAATCTGTGTCAGATCAAGTTGTAATTCATTCCTGACTCATGTGAACAGCCCTAATGCTCGCACGCAGTGTTAAAAATTAATGAACAAATGATTTGTTCATGTTTTGAAGGAACAGCTAAAGCAATTTACCACGCATACTGAGTTATCGCTTTTGTGCTTAGTCATTCGAATATTTTTGGGTCGTTATTTTTCCTTATGCTATTAAAGTTATTTTCAAATTCCTAGGAGCAGACAATCTTGTGTACAAACGTCAATTCATTTTCTAAAGGTCTCCATTTTCTAATGTATCCATGCATGCCATCAATGTTTCACGCACTACGGTTTAGCATATGTGCAAATGGAATTGAAAAAGCATTCAAATTTTAACAATAGCTTGATTTCTAAAGGTCTCCTTTTTTTTGATACACCCTGTATAGCACGAGTGTACGATAGCGAAAAAATATAACAATAGCATTTAACTATGACATGCGACGATTAACACGTGTAACACTGCACTATTGTGATTAGATAATGTAACAGTGCACTATTGTGATTAGATCATGTAACAGTGCACTATTGTGATTAGTTAATGTAACAGTGCACTATTGTGGTTAGTTAATGTAACACTGCACTATTGTGATTAGTTAATGTAACATTGCACTATTGTGATTAGTTAATGTAACACTGCACTATTGTGATTAGTTAATGTAACAGTGCACTATTGTGATTAGTTAATGTAACACTGCACTATTGTGATTAGTTAATGTAACACTGCACTATTGTGATTAGTTAATGTAACAGTGCACTATTGTGATTAGTTAATGTAACACTGCACTATTGTGATTAGTTAATGTAACAGTGCACTATTGTGATTAGTTAATGTAACACTGCACTATTGTGATTAGTTAATGTAACAGTGCACTATTGTGATTATTTAATGTAACACTGAACTATTGTGATTAGATAATGTAACACTGCACTATTGTGATTAGATCATGTAACAGTGCACTATTGTGATTAGTTAATGTAACAGTGCACTATTGTGATTAGTTAATGTAACACTGCACTATTGTGATTAGTTAATGTAACAGTGCACTATTGTGATTAGATAATGTAACACTGCACTATTGTGATTAGTTAATGTAACAGTGCACTATTGTGATTATTTAATGTAACACTGAACTATTGTGATTAGATAATGTAACACTGCACTATTGTGATTAGATCATGTAACAGTGCACTATTGTGATTAGTTAATGTAACAGTGCACTATTGTGGTTAGTTAATGTAACACTGCACTATTGTGATTAGTTAATGTAACATTGCACTATTGTGATTAGTTAATGTAACACTGCACTATTGTGATTAGTTAATGTAACAGTGCACTATTGTGATTAGTTAATGTAACACTGCACTATTGTGATTAGTTAATGTAACACTGCACTATTGTGATTAGTTAATGTAACAGTGCACTATTGTGATTAGTTAATGTAACACTGCACTATTGTGATTAGTTAATGTAACACTGCACTATTGTGATTAGTTAATGTAACAGTGCACTATTGTGATTAGATAATGTAACACTGCACTATTGTGATTAGTTAATGTAACAGTGCACTATTGTGATTATTTAATGTAACACTGAACTATTGTGATTAGATAATGTAACAGTGCACTATTGTGATTAGTTAATGTAACAGTGCACTATTGTGATTAGATAATGTAACACTGCACTATTGTGATTAGTTAATGTAACAGTGCACTATTGTGATTATTTAATGTAACACTGAACTATTGTGATTAGATAATGTAACAGTGCACTATTGTGATTAGTTAATGTAACACTGCACTATTGTGATTAGATAATGCAACAGTGCACTATTGTGATTAGTTAATGTAACAGTGCACTTTTGTGATTAGTTAATGTAACATTGCACTATTGTGATTAGATAATGTAACAGTGCACCATTGTGATTAGATAATGCAACACTGCACTATTGTGATTAGATAATGTAACAGTGCACTATTGTGATTAGATAATGCAACACTGCACTATTGTGATTAGATAATGCAACACTGCACTATTGTGATTAGTTAATGTAACAGTGCACTATTGTGATTAGATAATGTAACACTGCACTATTGTGATTAGTAATGTAACACTGCACTATTGTGATTAGATAATGTAAACAGTGCACTATTGTGATTAGTTAATGTAACACTGCACTATTGTGATTAGATAATGTAACAGTGCATATTGTGATTAGTTAATGTAACACTGCACTATTGTGATTAGATAATGTAACACTGCACTATTGTGATTAGTTAATGTAACACTGCACTATTGTGATTAGATAATGTAACACTGCACTATTGTGATTAGTTAATGTAACAGTGCACTATTGTGATTAGTTAATGTAACACTGCACTATTGTGATTAGATAATGTAACAGTGCACTATTGTGATTAGTTAATGTAACAGTGCGCTATTGTGATTAGATAATGAAACAGTGCACTATTGTGATTAGTTAATGTAACAGTGCACATTGTGATTAGATAATGTAACATGCACTATTGTGATTAGTAATGTAACAGTGCACTATTGTGATTAGATAATGCAACACTGCACTATTGTGATTAGATAATGTAACAGTGCACTATTGTGATTAGATAATGTAACACTGCACTATTGTGATTAGATAATGTAACACTGCACTATTGTGATTAGTTAATGTACACTGCACTATTGTGATTAGATAATGTAACAGTGCACTATTGTGATTAGTTAATGTAACACTGCACTATTGTGATTAGATAATGTAACAGTGCACTATTGTGATTAGTTAATGTAACACTGCACTATTGTGATTAGATAATGTAACAGTGCACTATTGTGATTAGTTAATGTAACACTGCACTATTGTGATTAGTTAATGTAACACTGCACTATTGTGATTAGTTAATGTAACAGTGCACTATTGTGATTAGTTAATGTAACACTGCACTATTGTGATTAGTTAATGTAACAGTGCACTATTGTGATTATTTAATGTAACACTGAACTATTGTGATTAGATAATGTAACAGTGCACTATTGTGATTAGTTAATGTAACAGTGCACTATTGTGATTAGATAATGTAACACTGCACTATTGTGATTAGTTAATGTAACAGTGCACTATTGTGATTAGTTAATGTAACACTGAACTATTGTGATTAGATAATGTAACAGTGCACTATTGTGATTAGTTAATGTAACACTGCACTATTGTGATTAGATAATGCAACAGTGCACTATTGTGATTAGTTAATGTAACAGTGCACTTTTGTGATTAGTTAATGTAACATTGCACTATTGTGATTAGATAATGTAACAGTGCACCATTGTGATTTGATTAATAACACTGCACTATTGTGATTAGATAATGTAACACTGCACTATTGTGATTAGATAATGCAACACTGCACTATTGTGATTAGATAATGCAACACTGCACTATTGTGATTAGTTAATGTAACAGTGCACTATTGTGATTAGATAATGTAACACTGCACTATTGTGATTAGTTAATGTAACACTGCACTATTGTGATTAGATAATGTAACAGTGCCCTATTGTGATTAGTTAATGTAACACTGCACTATTGTGATTAGATAATGTAACACTGCACTATTGTGATTAGTTAATGTAACAGTGCGCTATTGCACTACGCGTGTAACGGGACGAGCTTGCTGCCTGAGACACACACAAACGTTGATTCCCGTTTCTAAGTGTCCTTTATTTCATTCTCGTGCTCCCTATATACATGTGCTCAAGATTGTCATATCTAATCACAATATTGCACTGATAGACTGAAAATGACTAATTATTCATGCATAGACCAATTATATGTGAAATAGCGCATTATTTGCTAAAATGCGCTCCTATAGCTGTGTGATGGTTAACCAACTTACGCATTTGTGGGAACAGTTTAATACTAGCTATCAACGGAAAATAACAAACTTGTGTTGTTTCGCATTTGCAAAATATAGAAAACTACTTTTTACCGACTTAACGTTTCGAAACCAACAGTTTAAAACTAATTATTTATTACTAGTTCAAGGCGTAGTTTTTTTAGTGTTTTGGGGGGCAAGTGAGCTACACCCCCCGGAAATTGAAGCTCCTGTTCGCCCATGTACACACGCGTAGTTATTTAGTGTATATTGTCTGAAATTCAGAATTTATTTTGTCACAAAACAGTGTTGTATAAAACGTATCGATGATTGAGTGATGCCATAATTTTATTTCCCCTTGATTAAAATATTACTGACAAAAGCGGTTGTAATCCTACCTCCTCTTCTGGTATTTTCCTGGGTTGTTTTTTCCATTTCTGTATAAAACAAGTAAATGAAATAATAAAAATTCAAATCGAAGAATTCATAATGAAAACGAGTTTCAATATTCCTCAATTTGAAACAAACAATATGGTTGTACAGGAACATGTCTGGAAACAGCCCAGAAAGGAAAGTGTGATTGACATGTATTAAGACTTGAGTGTTTGACTGCATGAAACTGTTTTGTTTGTAGATGAGAAGGAGTATGCGAGAATTCTTGAAAATTCTTTATCAAAATAGTACTTGCCTTTGCCTTCGCCTTCGCCTTTACAGGAGCGAACATAAACCATAATATCACATGATTTCTCTCGCCCTCCATACAGTTGAAATCTATTCTTGATTTTATTAAAACCAACAGGAAAACTGTGTGGTGATCTCACGTCTGGCTCCACTTTTAGACGACGGATTTGAAGCTTGTGTTGACATGAAATATTTGGCTTCATCCAAAATACTGGATCTGACAAATTACTGTAAGTAACACGCGGTCTATTCCTTGCTCTTGAAAATGACATGTGCATTTGCCCTCTAACAGAAGAGAATGCCAAATTTATCTCGTTTTTTAAAATGACTTGAATGGCAGTTGACTTAGAAGGAAATTTGCGGAGTGTAATCATAAATTGTAGCTATATTTGTAAGGAGACGTGGTGGCTGCCTGCATCCCAGCTCGTTTAAAGTAAACTAGGCATGGTTAGGGAGAACAACAGTAATTAATTACAGTAAGTATGCGATAAATTATTCGTCAAAAACCTTTTATACTAGGCATTGCCAGAAATGGCAATTGAAAAACAAGACAGTGCATGTGGCAGATTGCACAGGTAATTCATTCTTATCGAATAACAAATCATCTCCTGAACGCCATACATAAGCCTAGAGCAAACAAAATAATTAAAGCAAAGTACAATCATTAAAACTTACCAACAATGGGACACAACTTTATGTTGTCATTAAATCTTTCATCAAGATAGTGAAATGTCTCGTTACAACACTGTGATATTTTAATATCATCGTCATTTAAACATTCTCTTTCCCATTGCTTTCTGTCTTCAACAAATTCAGACCATCCTCTTTTACAAAATTCAGACTCTTCTTTCCCAAAAACGAGATTTGCAGCTAAATAAATCATTATAACCGTCTGTAAAACTTCTTTACAGTTGCCAAATATGATTGGTTTACGTTGGCTTCGTTTAGTCCTCATTCTATAAAGATAAGTTAAAGTTGTGTTTACAATGTGTATAAAAAATGTGCAATCTATAAAATCTAAACAGTTTCGGTGTTAGCAAGGGTAATAAAAAACTGGATCGGAGACTAGACTGACTAACAACATAGTTGAAATTCGTGATGTCACGAGTATTGCGAATATGCCAACCTTTCGTAACATCCTTTCTGAACATCCTCTTTCTAACTATAATTCTATCCATGCTCGCCTAAAAAAGAATATCTTGCAGATAGCTGTAATTTATTCATAATAATAAATATATGTTTGTCAGCTGCTCTTCAAATATATTTAGTCTCTTTATTAAATGTTCGAAATATAATTTACTTGACTGTCTTAGTGTCTCACATACATTATGCTGTGGAATGATAATAATGTAACTGCAGATTGCTCAGTTAGCGTTAACGAAACCCGCGATATTTCATTTTGCAAGAGGGGAAGCCAGCGTAAACTTCCGAACAAGAACAGTTCCTGTGACATATTTTGTTCAATAAAAAATACCATATTTTTTTAAACCTCTCCTGCTCGGCTCATAACTACAGCGCTATATCAGAGTTCTTTTGGTCTTGCGATCCGTAAAAATGTAGTTAATCGTGGCCCGTTGGTTGCATATTTGCGAAGCCTATATATACACATTTGAACAGAATCAGTTGGCCGAATGTTGAACTGTACCAATGTTGCGAAACGGCTGTTCTATTGATTAGGTAATGTTAGACATAAACTCAAAAAGCCTTCTTTGGTAACATCAATTGTAACTTGTGAAACATGAAATATTAGCTACTTTGTAGACCTGATAAGAAATATGAGAACATTTTGTGCTCGAAAAAAGAGTATTCTTGTGACATGCATGGCGGTTTTTGTTAAGATACCTGTGGCTGTGTAAGGCCAATTGGCTTCAGCTCTTTAAGATTTTGCTATTCAGGTGTTGAAACATCGATGAATGAGTGATTAAAAGACTACTACTTTGGATAATATAAAATATGATTATTAAAGTACGCGCGTGATAATGATTTCCCGCCTAGCGGCTTTAAAATTTAAAGAATAAACAAAAATAATCAATGCAATAGTAACTATACTTTACCATAAAAATAGACTATAATCCCTTTATTGCACATTTGGACTTATTTTAATCACAGAACAGAAAATATAATGCATCGTTCTTTGTTAATTCATTGTTCATCGTTCATTGTGAATAATGTTGTGAGAATTAATATAATTATGAATTATGAATCAAAACAAAATTTGTATAAAACCTTTTGGTTGAACGATATTATATTGTATTATAGATTATATTAATTAAAATTAAATAATAAAAATTAAAATTAGCAAAGCCCAGCAAATGAGTTTCAAACAAGACATAACAAAGTGTAATATAACTTAGCATCAAATGTGGTATAACAACTGCATAAATAGACAAAACACTTCTCTTAGTATACTAACTCTCTTGACCAAGGCCCTCAGGTCGAAACGTCGAGAAGTGTTTTGTCTATTTAGGCAGTTGTTACTTGTTATACCACATTTGATGCTAAGTTGTTTCAAGACGCTGCCGCATTGCTCCTTGGTTAAAGTGTAATATAGTTTACCTTTAGGCAGCCAGATCTTTTAAATAAGACTTGCTTTTCTTGATTCAACTGACAACACCTCCGCTCTAGACTGAATGTCCCAGGTGATGATGCCTCGTTTTTTTTCTCTTGCTTTGAGCCAAGTGATGATGGACATATGACAACCCAATTATCCTTAAAACCCAATTATCCTTACAGTAGCAAAATGAATATATGAATATGTGCTCCTTAATTATTTATGATAGCTGCGCCACTGGAAATTTCATTTCTAAGATTATTTTCACTATTCCTTATGGCATGCAAAATGTGGTAATTTATACTCTAATTTGTCTTTATACCCTAAGGCACTGTAAGATATATAAGATAACCCCACCTGGGGTGATCCTGAGTGAGTCCAACACGACGCGAATTCTCAGTGTTTCGAGGCAAATAAATTAAATTCTGAAAGGAAATTTTGAGAGCTATGGATCCCACACTACAAAAATGTGGTATCCTTGGGTATTTATCAAGACTGATATCGTAACATATTCAAACGTATATTTCCTCTTGAAAACCGTAAAATTGGTGAAAATCGCATCGCGTTGGCGGTTCGCGTGTGTGTGGCATTAATTCTTTAACCATATTTCTCTGAGTATTGGCCTTATTGTTAAGTACTAAAGTACTGGACAATGTGTTCACTGGGAGGTGCATATTTGCAGTGGCGTAGCCAGCCGGACGATTTAGTCATGCTATGCAAATTTTATGTTATTATCATTATTCATTTCGTTAGAAATTCATTGTTTTCAGTTTTCACAGTTAATGAACACCATGGCGAAAATATTAGCATAGCATGACTAAATTGTCAGGCTAGCTACACCACTGCATCTTCGTATACTTCATAGACCCAATTCATACACTACAACTTTGAAAGTTTTATAACTAACGCATAATTTAAACAGCTGTTAACCAAGATGGCCAGAAAAAGAACTTGCTAACTGTAGAAAGCATAAAAACTACGTAATTCATAAGAAGTTAAGTATATTGGCATAGAATAGATGCATGTTCGAAGGCCTACATGAATTATTTTGGAAGCAAAAAATAAGGCCTAGGTTATACGTCGCATTTTCGTCGCGTCGAATGGAATTAAAACAATAGATAATGAGATGATAAACCTCATTGCTGCTATCATCTCAGTATCTATTTTTCGAATTGCATTCGACGCGACCAAAATGCAAGAATTAGGGGCCACTATGTTGTGCACGATTAATTCCTTCCTTTTGAAAGCGATTGTCCTTCCTGTAGCAAAATGAATAATATACGAATTTTGAGTATTTTGAAGCTAACCCAAGACATGCCAAATTGTGCTATCCTCGGGTATTTATCAAGGTTGATATCGTACACTGTAAAATTCGTGAAAGTCGCGTCGCGTTGGCGGATTCGCCGGCACCCGTGGTGTGCGTGAGCCTTATGAAGAAGCGTTTGTTCGTAGATCGTGGTTCCCGCGGAGTCACAATGATGCACAATGATGCAGAAACGAAATAAGCTCGATATTCGGAACTCTCTTGCAATATTTTGATTTCTGTAAAATGCCCAATAATGGTTAAAATTTGCGAATATACAAGTTTATAAATTATATAAAATAACATATAAACTATAATTTGAAACATCCTCCTAGAGAAAAATTTTCGGTATGAACTGTATTTCTTCTTCTTAGCGTTGTGCCTTGGGTACTCCGATAAATTGAGTGCAGGGTAAACGGGGCTATATTTTTTAATATCTTCAATAAGCGATTTGAATAATAATAGAATATTATTAATAATAATGAAAACATGGACTTGTATTATAAGCATTGAGGACTCTTGGATTAGAATACCTTTTTTGGGCAGACAGGGAGAATTTCTAGTTGAAAAACTCATCAGGAAAATACAGCGGAATCTCACAAAGCCGGTTAAATTTGTGGTAATTATTTTATGACACTAAGAAGGTATCATATTTTTTACCTAAAAAGATCCAACTCTGCGCGATAACACGGTAGCAAAACAGAAAGAAACTTCGCTGAGGCCAAATTATTTTTCAACTAAATGGCAAGTTTCAGCCCGGGCTGTGTTATGACACGTCAGAATTATTTTAAGACCAGGGCTGAAATTTCAGCCCGGACTGAGTTTGTAAAGGCTGGTAGTAGACCTATTTCGATTCTTCGAGGGCTTTAAAATCCCGAATGACAATAATTTGACCTTTAAGGGACTATGACTGCACATGAAATGAAATAAACAAACGAAAAAGCATTGTCAATGCGAGTATAAGGGTTTAAGTTTATTTACGATTACATGACAGCAACATTAAATTTCAGTCCGGGCTGAAGTTTCCCGGGCAACTCAAACCGGGCTGAAATTCCAGCCCGGGCTGATATTTTTGTCATGTAATCGGTGCATGACGACACCATAATCACGGTGCATGACGACATGTCCTAAACTTCTTCGCCAAATATCTGCTGAATTTCAATGACACTGCATTTGATCAAATCAAGACTTTCGAATCGTGCTGATGATAAAATATTTACGAATTTTATGTCGCAGATGTATTTTTCCTTGTGAATTAGTTACGGCATTTAAATGGTCGTGACAAAAGATCCAACGACAAACATTTCATATCAAGGAGATATAGGGCCTAATGAACCCGATTCTGTATATACGATTAGGCCAGTTTCCACTCAGAAAAAATCTCCTTTGGATTGGAACGAACAGGAAAATTTCCTTTGTCGGTGAGTTCCAAAGCAGCGTTTATACAAGGGAAACTTTCCTCTCCTGTCCGATCCAGTGAGGAAAATTATCCTCCGGACCGATAAGACAGTATGATTTCCTTTGTGCTTAAGACAATTAGTTTTGGTTGAGAACACGTGGATAAAAGAAACTTTTTGTCCGACCGGTTGGGAGGAAAATTTTCCTGACTGGAAACCAGCCTTTACCTTGGGACATGCTGTTTTAGTATTTTTAATTTAAATAGCTTAAATAGCTATTTTATTTTAAATTAAAGCGTATTCTAACTGAATTTAAATAATTTAAATAGCTTAAAAAGCTTATGTTTGTGTGAGTTAAACAAAAAATTAACTTACCATAATAGTCATAATATTAATTGCCATAATTGCCATTATATTAAGTGCCATTAAATTCTTCTAGGCTGCACAAAGCTGTCGCAGGTTATTTTTTCGTGCTAAATTGTCACAATCAAGCGTCTTCTATACTCAAACGAGACGTTCTACAAGATACGTTTGCGTACGACAAAACACAAAATTAAAAAAGAATTTTCAATCTACATACTCAAGTTATTGATAACTAAATGGAAAATGTTCATGCATAAACAATAAGAAATCAACATAAAGCTTACTAAGCAGTTAAGAGATATTGATTCTATGAATGATGCAGTTAGCAATCTGTCACTAATTTCGATCTTTTGTGTATAACTTAAGGCTAGTTTCCACTCAGGAAAGTTCTCCTTTGGATCGGACAGGACAGGAAAGTTTCCTTTGTATATAAACGCCACCTGAGAACTCACCGACAAAAGAAATTTTCGTGTCCGTCCTGATTCAAAGGAGATTTTTCCTGAGTGGAAACTAGCCTTTAGAAGTTTTCATTAATGTGAATAAATCGAAATAAGGTAATCTTCTGGGGCCGGTTGTATGAAAGCCGGATAGCGCTATCCATCGGATAGTGATTTTTTCAACCGTTCTAAAAATGCTTGAAAAGCTATAAAATCTTCGCTTTGGAACTAAATATTATTAAAGAGGATCCTCGACTTGGGAATACTAAGATTTAATCAAAGTTATACCTAACAACAGGTGATTTTAAAGCGATTGAAAAAAACACTATCCGGCTTTCATACAACCGGCCCCTGTTAGTTTACTGCGTCGCGTATAAAAACGTGCAAGGGTTGGTTTCCAGTCAAGAAAATTATCGCCCGAAACGCATAGGACAGTATGAATTCTTTTGTGGTTAACCAATTAGTTTTGGTTCGGAACACAAGGATAAATGAAAATTTTCTGTCTGATACGGTCCGAAGGATAATTTTCCTGACTATTTAGCGCCTTTTGCTCCTTCGATTCTCTTGAATTCACTTGATCTTTATCATTCAGGATGCATTTTATTGCAAACCGCCAAGACTAGCTTTAAAATCGATTCTCGTAAGGTGGACGCGAACTTACTTCAGCGAGGACTGACTAAAATTATCATGGTGAAAAACATGTCATAAAAAGTTTAGAGTTCCTGGCTAAATATCCGCTGAACTTCACTGAATCATTTAAGAGGATTAACTAAGGCATGCTGCATGATTATCAAATATTTACACAGACAAATTTTATTTGACGAATTTTTTGTCGCAAATATATTTTTCCTGGTGCATGAATGTGAAATTAGTCACGGAATTAAATGCATCGTGATTTCGTATTTTAAGTTAAAATAGCTTAAATAGCCCAAATATTATATATTATATAAAAATTATGCAGTTACTAATCTGTCCTTAATTTCGATTCCTTGTGTACAACGTAAATGTTTTTATCATAATTGCTTAATTGGTATCAAATTCATGCAGTTTGTGAAGAAAAGCTAATTCGCTCAAATACTGTAATTAAAAAGGATTTTCAACGAAAAAAATATTCAGGTTTTAAATCTTCCTATTTAAATATTATTTAAAGTATATAACTTAATTAATTTTTGGTTGGTGTACTGAGCGTATGAAATCGCGTAGTTGGAAAGTATAGCTTTAATGTTTCAATTATACGTCAGCAGAGTCTTTCATAATTGATAATACGCAAACACCAACAACAGGTCATGAAATTACAGAGACATACACATTAGAGAGCGCATTCGTGCGAGCAAATTCATCGCGTCTTGAGGGAGAAGTAAAGAACTAAGCAGAAACAATTTTAACGTATCATCGACCAATCCTCGAAATGTTGATTTTCCTCAGCATTTTGTTGATGACTTTGTCAATGCTAGAAGCTCAACGTTGTGCTTTAAGACATTTCAAAAACGTCAGTGTTGGTAAGTGTGTAATTTGCTTTGTTTTACGCTTGGTTTCCATTTATAATGTGGCTGAAATGATATGAATAAACTTCACCGGAGACGAGCTTTACAAGCATATATTCACTGCGCTAAAACCTTTAGGATTCAAATAAACGTGTCCCTTTTCTTCACAAATCAGCAGCGAGAGGAATCCTGGCCTTCCAAAAATTGGTTGTTGTTTAACGAATAAAACACTGGGTTTTCAACCCAGAGGAAATTATTTTGAAATTGGCACAGTTTTTAGAGTGTATGAATCAAATTATCATTGAAAACTGAATATAATTTTCTATTAAATGCAGGAAATGAAGCTTTGCGTCCATCAGAGTTGATTTCAAGTCACAATATTCACAGATTGGGAGAGTGTCATTTACTGTGCATTGAGAAAGAAAATTGTTATGGTTATAACTACAGAGTGAGACCAAGCAGTGTTTATTCTGTCAACTGTCAACTTAGCAACCGCACAAAGAAGTGGAACAAAACAACGACTAAATATGGACCATGGGTTTACTACGAGGATGTTAAGGTAAGTTTTGGACTACTTCATGAAAAATAGCAATCCAGAGTGCGATTATCAATGCATTGAGGCGGATTTCCAATTACAAAGCGAAATCGTTCGCTAGCGAAATATTTGCATATTTTCTTTCGAAATTTAACAGCATAAATGAATTTGTGCGACTTGACTGTTCTCAATTCAAAAGAAAATATGCAAATATTTCGCTAGCAAATGATTTCGCTGTAAGTGGAAATCCGCCTTTAAAAGGCCTAGGCGATTGATCGCTCAGTGTACCATAATAGCTCTAATCATTTTCAATTATTTTGAAGTTTGAACATGAAATCCGAAATAGCTGATTTAATTTCTCTTTCATATAGGTCACAGAAGGTAAGAATGAAGAATCTCATTAACTATAATAGATGTGACCGATGTATCCGTAGATATTCTTCTATAACAGAAAAAATACAACCATGATCATTAACAACAGCAGAAACACAATGAAATATCCACCAAAGGGAGAACCACCTCATAGGTCAAAATTACTGATTTTTTAAAAAAATACGCAACCATATTAAAACGAAGTTTATCAATATGACATTTATAGTACGCACCCAAGTGAGGTGAGAATTTTTAAATAACGTGGAAAACTCGTCCTACGGGATCGTTCTCCCACTGATTATTTCTCGTTCAACCAACCCTCCCCACGCTTATTTCTAGATCTATAACTGGATAGAAACACGGAAAATGTTCTCTATTTTTTAATTATTATTCATGCAGATATTGACGAATGTTTCCTCGAGACACACCTATGTCAAGTGAATGCTATATGCAGCAACGTTATTAGGGCCTTAAGGTCGAAACGTTGAGACGTGTTTTAGGCAGTTGTTATACCACATTTGATGCTAATTTTCAAAATCTTTACTCTTTTTGGAGTTTCTATTTTTATATATTGCAAAGCTTACATAGTTTCTGTACTTGTGTAAATGCATCCACTTTCATAATCATATGTTACACAAGTTTCAGCTACAAGTTGTCTCAACTTGTACCAGAACGGTAAGAGATCTGATGGAATTTACACAATCAATCCGGACGGTAAGAGTTCTTTTCAAGTCTGGTGTGATATGACAACCAATGGAGGAGGATGGACGGTGTTTCAAAGAAGACAAGATGCAAGTGTAGATTTTTTTCGTGGTTGGTCAGAATATAAAACAGGATTTGGTTCTTTAAACGGAAATTTTTGGCTTGGTTTGGAAAACATTTTTCGCATGACAAAAACTGGAAACAAGAATTTAAGAATCGACCTGACAGACTTTGATGACTCAACAGCTTTCGCTCTTTATTCCACATTTTCTTTGGCCTCTGAGTCTGAAGGTTATAAATTGAACATCGGAGGGTTTTCCTCGGAGAGTAAGTAAATTTTAGTACACTCTAAATGTCGAAGTGTCCAGCAAACACCCAATAAGTGTAAATACACACAATTTTGGTGTAACTCAGTATATTACATCCACAAAGTGCAAATATATATTTCATATATGAAAATTATTGCATTTTGCATAAAAATGATTTTATAGAAATGAAACCAAGGTTTATGTTGGTTTGTACGCATTTCACTTGGGTGACACGATCTTTACTGTTTTTAGTTTTACTAACACGGTGCCGCACTTTAAACCCAGCTAATAAATTGGTGGGATTTTGTTTGGCTTACAAATTATAGAGAGCAAGCAAGCATGGAAGCGACGTTTTGACAACACGGACGTCACGCGTACTTTACAGCAAATTATTGCGTCAGCAGTCCGTGCTTGAAATCCAGAACCGGGCAGTGGACAGGATTTCACCACAGAGTAATTAGGTGGAAACAAAGAATAGGGTCAATTAACATTAGGTTTGGCTCATGAGGGACGCTACTTTTCAGGAAGAAGATTAATTTGGCACTGGTTTCTTCTGGATACAGCTGGTTAATTCTCTTTTTTATATAATTTCAGGTAATGCTGGCGATTCTTTGACATCTACGCATAACGGAATGAAGTTCTCTACAAAGGATCGCGATAATGATCGGGATGGTGGTAGCTGTGCTGCGCATTGGAAAGGTGCTTGGTGGTATAACAGATGTCATAGTTCCCACCTCAACGGCAAATATCTCAACGCAGGTGACAGATCTTGGAGTGGCATCAACTGGGGCGATAAGAGATCTATGAAAAAAACTGAGATGAAAATCCGCTGACCTCAATTTTTGAACTGACATGGTTGCAACATTTACCTTGTACTGAAACTACTCACTATATAATGTTCGTAATTATTCAAACATCTCAAACATATATCATAAATTCTTACTTCCTAGTATGCTATCCTTTTGGAAGAGGATAATTTTATTTTCCTGTCGTTTTTTATCTTAGACAGTGGAATATAAAGCCAGTGTAATATAAAGCTAGCTAGTCTGTTGTAATCAATGAAGGAACGCATAGCAACACGCACACACAAAGTATCTTCAAGAAAATTGTATATTTCTGACTTATATAATATTTACCTTTCTCTGTCAGATGTGTCAAATATATTAATAATTTTATAAACTAAATAGGCTAAAATTAAGCTGTTTAAGCCACTAAGGTATATATAATGATCTATGTATAAAAAAATGATGATAAAATCACTAAATGGTTACGTGTTGTCTATCCTTATGTAATGACTAAGGATCGAGTAGAGTACTGTGTACAGCGTCTGACGACGTTGCATCTAATTAATAATTATGGTGTGACAAGGAGTTGTGGATTCCTACTACAGATCTAAATTGCCTTCGCAATAGTGGATTTTTTAAAATGTTTTTGAAAGGCCATAACCAATAACTTTATTGATAACGTATTTTCAATTCAAACTGAAGTCACGAAGTTTATTCCATCCAGCAAGGTCTTGAACAGCTAGTGGTAACAGCTACCTAAAATTTCAAAAATACTTCGACATTTCGACCAAAAGGCCTTCGTTAGAAAATTTGGTAAGAAAAGAAATCGGAGAGCATATATTTGACGGCAAACACGTGGTAAAATAAACCAACGTAAAACAAAATTATAAAAAAATTAGAATCATCCTCAGTGAAATGGTTGCCCTAGAGTTTTCCCGCCTGAATTGCGGGCTAGCAAACAACCAGCAAACAAGGAGGCCTGATTTGGCGAAGGAACTATTTTGATGTAAACAACATAATAGCATGTAGTTCATATATTTTTACACAGGGTGAACTGAAGTGAAATAAATGAAAGGTAGTTATTCATTTATAAGACGAAGAGTGCAAAGACTGTGAATGAGTCACATTTCTTTTTGTTCGCAGTTTCGATCAAAGATGGGACAGATATGAAGCGCTGGATTCTTATATTTGAGACACAAATCACAATGATTATTGATTACCAAAGCCAAGGTAAAATATCTCGCAACAGACCTTATGTTATCGTGGTGTTAAACAAACATACGGTTATCACCATTTCTTACCCTTTCAGGTTCCCTGATATAAAATAATCAGTGAACCTCAAAAAATCGACTGTTTCATAAATAGGTTGCCCACTCAATACCCAACTTCATAACCACATTTGTTGCAGAAGATATTCTTATATCAGTATATAGTACATGAATAACAAAACGGTACAGGACAGTGACTAGAACTAGAATCATATAAGTGGTAAGCATTCGATCAGGTGGTGCGAAACGGATGTACTATTGATCCAGAGGTTGACAAACAGTGCCCGGGCAAGGTTCAGGGCAACGGCGATTTTAAGTTATGTACCGGTACATTTACTCTGTGTATTTTAGTTAAAATTGAAGGCTTTTATGTATGGGCGAAATGCAAATTAGTATACATGCATGCGACACTCGTCAGTCACAAATTTCTCTGGCTTTTATGCCTCGCATATTTTTAGAGAATATTTTATTGTAATTAAGTCTCTATTATTTTACATTTGATAAACAAGATTTAACAATTATTCGCCAAAGGTGAGGTAGTATCGCTGGATATACATCTGGATGGAGTCGAGGCGATACCTCACACTCAGTTAAGATTATCTTGTTTCACTATTCTTTAAAAACGATTTAAGTTCTACTCATGCTGATATTTTCTCCTGCACAAAATTCTTTAATTGTTCTGCGAACAACTGATAAAACCACGAATACTGTGAATGATTGAAACGTTTGTATAAACGATCACAATATACAAAATGTACTATAGTATGATGCGTGGTTTTAGCCAAAAACTGCAACCAATTCCACATTATTTTGATATGATTATCATTCTGGTCATTTTCATTAACACAAACCATTGTCGATTTATTCAGCGTGTATTTGGACACGTTGGAAAATATGAAAAATAAAGTAATTTTACTTTTCAATATAAAACTTTTCAGTTTTCTTTTGCCACGCTTGATTGGTGATTGGTTTATCAAATAACAATGAACAATGAATGAAATCAAATAACACTGTCACTGTTCAAGAAACAAAGACAGGCTTTAAGTTGCTGTAATTGTATTCCTTTTGCAACAGTACAGTCGAGAAAATGTTTTTTTATAGTTTGGTAAGCGTAGCACATACACCAGAGGATTGACAGCAAAGTTGATGTGGAATATTCCAGAAGATACCTCATTCAAAACTTCAACAGTTAGGTCATCACTAAACAATTTTTGAAACACCTTCATGTGAAAGAATATCGTCGAAGGCACAACACAAATCACTTGAAGACACGCCACAATAATAATTGTTCTCAAAAATTGTTTTTCCTGCATAATTCGCGCCTGTTGCTGTCGATTTGTAATGTTCTCTAGAGCTAAATTTTTTGACTGTTTTTTTAACTTGTGGTACGTTAACCCGTACATCACACTTGCAAACAAAACTGGCAAAATCTGGGTAAGAATCCTTATGTGTGTGTCCACGTCAGTTACTATAGCAAACACAAAGTTTTTTATGGGAAATGCCGAACCAAAAAGCCAAACACAAGCCAACCACACGAACATCTTATTTCCTTTCGTCAAAGCTCTATGTTTGAAAGGAGACAGAACCAAGAAAAACCGATCAAGCGAAATTGACGCTATTGTTAAAATGGATACATTCATGCAAGAGAAAACAACGAGGTGCCTCGGCCATTCCCAGTGCCAGTTTTTGGGTATACAACATTTGGTCGGAGTTATCAGGCAGCAGGAAGTCTGAAGCAGCTAAATTTACAACAAGATATGTTCCTGAATTCTTGAAGCATTTTAGAGGATCTTTGATGAAAGCAATAATAGGAACGCATGTAATATTACACCAACAATACAAACACAATAGGACAGCATGTCCAAATAACTTATCTGAAAACCAGCGAATTTTTCCTCTGCCATGATCTATAAAGTTATTAAAGTAGCTCTTCGTAGTATGCATTAAATACTTCGTATTGAGTCTATTAAACATACGTTTTCATTTAGAGCAACTTGCTTCATTTAAATTAAAACGCTTCATAAACCGTTTAAATATCGAAAGAATACCACAATAATGATAGCACATGTAAAATTTAATGAAAAAGATGCTAAACCACCAATCAGAACTATCTTGTTACAAATAGAACAAAATTTATGTAGTTTATTATTGACATGCATGTAGCTATTGTAGGGTGCTAAATTAAAAGTGCAACTAAGATATATAAGTTCTTTACTTTAGCTATTATATACTCCTATATCTCTTACGACTGACAAGACTTACACTACACACTTGATAAGTTAACCTCGGGCAAGGTTAGATACTATTCATAATTTTAGTATATATTTCCAGAAAAAAACACTGGATACACTAAAATTGGTATAAAACATCCAATGTTGTCTTTTTTACCAAAACAAAATAAATATATTGCAGTTTTATTAATAACACGCATTTAAATTACATAAAAATGATAATTAATATGCATGCAAGCAAAAGTTATTTTAGTACTGACTTATTTATATATAGGTCTATACAAATAAACAGAATGGATTTTTTCAATATAACATATTAAATAAAAAACTTTATAAAATTATAGTACAGTCCAGAAATAACCTAACACTGTAGTTTCGGTTCGGTTGCGGTTCAGTTGCGATCGACCGATAGAAACCGCAGACGACCGCAAGAAAAAATGCGATCGCGGTTGCAGTTCGCTTCAGAACGGAATGTTATGAACAGCTGAGAACGAAAACACAATAATCATATCAAAAACAATCAAAACATCTTAAGAAATATCTGTCAGACCGAGTTAGGTCGAGGTTAAACCGCGATCAGACTGAGGTTTGACCTTGGTTAACCGCGGTTTTTGTTAGGTTATTTCTGGAGGGTACTGTAACTCCATAGCACTAGATAATCCGTGTTTCCTGCCAAAGAAACACAGATGCTAGCTCGAGTCTTTCAATTTTGTGCTGCTTTGCAACAATACAACAAACAAAATGTTTTTCTATAGTTTGGTAAACGCAGTAAGTACACCAGTGGATTTACAGCAAAATTGAAGTGGAATAACCCATGAAAGATCTCCTTTAGAATCCAAACAGCTGCGCCATTATTAATTGTTTTTTCGATTGACTCAGGGTAATACGTGGCTATAGACGTAGGGACGATGCAAACGAATTGAATGCACGCTACAATAATAATTGTTTTTAAAAATTGTTTTTCCTTTATAAATCGCGCCTGTTGCTGTCGATTTGGAATGTTTTCGAAAGCCACGTTTTCAGATTGTTTCTTTACTTTCTGGTATGTTAATCCGTACACCACGCTTGAAAATAGGATTGGTGACATTTCGCTAAGAAACCACATGTGTTTGTCCATGTCACTTTCAAAGAAAAGGATAAAAACTTTTACTGGATATGCAGAACCAAGAAGCCAAATACCAACCACCCACATGACCATAATTTTTCGTCTCATTAAAACACGATGTTTCAAAGGATACAGAACTAAAAAGAAGCGATCAAGTGAAATTGATGCGATCGTTAAGATCGATACATTTGTGGAAGAAAACTTCACGAAGTCCTTAAGCCTCTCCCACAGCGAATATCTTGGTATTATGCAACACCCATCGAGCGGTGAAATCAGACAAAGCATGAAATCGGTGACAGCTAGATTTCCGACGAGATATGTCCCTGAGTTTTTGAAGCATTTCAAAGGATCTTTGATGAAAGCAATGATAAGAAGTGTATTTGAAATTATACCAAGAATGGAAGAAAAGTGAGGTACTTGGCCCATCGTACCTAAATCGAAGCCAGCAAGTTTGGTGCAGTGAATTGCGGAGAGAAATACTCGTTTAAATAATTATAGTCTGCATTACATGCATGGGAT